CCACGTTTGTACCGTATATCTCATCAATGAAGGAGGCGGCAACAGTTACAAAATTCAATTAGAAGCTTTTCTGAATAAATTATCAGAACTGGTTCTACAACATCCAATTGATAAATTCATTGTTTTGGGAGACTTCAATTTGCGTGACTATATTAACTGGACGACACAGGAGAATGGTGAACTTACACCAGAATTGGTTACCAGCAAAGACTTTGTGGTAAACTTCATAGATACGCTCAACGTATGTAATCTTAGCCAATATAACAACATAAGCAATTATTTCCATCGAACTCTTGATTTAGTACTCTCAAATGACACTGTCATTGTTCACGAGTGTGACTCTCCTCTTCTTAAGGAAGACCTGCACCACAAAGCTATTTCTATTAGTGCTGACTTTGTTGAAATTCACACATTACCACAAGAACGCCGAATATCATACAAATTTAATTCGGCTGATTATGCAATAATATCATCTGAACTCTCTAATACGGACTGGAACGGCTGTTTGAATGGAGTACCACTAGATAACGCAATTACTAATTTCTATAATCGACTTTATGAACTTCGTGATAAACACGTTCCTAAAAAAACCATTACTTCTAAATCTTACCCACCATGGTACAATAGTGCTTTGATTAAAATTTTAAGAGAGAAGGATAAATGCCATCGGAAGTATCGCACTTACGGTAATCTATCAGACTACAACTCTTTCTCATTACTGCGCCGCCGTGCCATTCATATTGAAAAGGAATGCTTTGATCATTATATATCAACAATTGAACAATTTATCACTGAGGATCCCAAGATTTTCTGGACTTACGTAAAAAACAAGAAAAAATCAGGCGCATACCCGAATCGTATGTATTACAACGAGGAAGTGGCTAGCACTGGTCAGAGTATTTGTAATTTATTTGGTTCATTCTTTCTATCGACATTTAATGACTCTGTTGCCACGAAATCAGACAATTTAACGCCTGAATTCTCGAAATATACTGTCTGTCTTTTGGGACCATTGTGTATTTTGTTTAGGCGTTCAATGAATGAGGGCCACGTTCCTGCAATTTGGAAATCAGCATTTATTACGCCGATTTTTAAGCAAGGAGACAAGGCATGCGTAGAAAACTATAGACCTATCTCCAAGCTTTGTCTCTTTGCTAAGGTTTTGGAGCGACTGATCTACGATCAAGTCTATGGTGCACTCAAATGTTCTTTCAGTGAGGAGCAGCATGGTTTTCTGAAGGGTCGATCAACGGTATCGAATCTGGCACTCGCGAATAACTTTATTACCGCCGGTATGGATGATCGAGCTCAGGTAGATGTCATCTACACTGACTACAGAAAGTGTTTTGATAGAATCGATCATACCGTGCTTTTACACAAACTGTCAATGGCGGGGATTCATGGTGACTTATTCCGATGGTTCTCCTCGTATATAGAAAACCGCAGTCAAGCTGTGGTGTTAAACGGTTATACATCAAATTGGACCTATATACCATCTGGGGTACCACAGGGTTCTCTACTCGGACCCTTACTGTTTGCGATATTTGTGAATGACATTGCTGAGTGTTTTCACAACTCCAAAATAATTTTATTCGCGGATGATATGAAAATATTAAAGATTATACGCAACGACTTGGATGCTAGAGATCTTCAGGCTGATTTATGTAGATTCGAAGGTTACTGCATAAAAAACAAACTAGATCTCAATGTTGCGAAATGTTTCTATATGTCCTTCACCCGCTGTTATAACATTATAAATTTCACATATACATTAAAAAATCATAAATTGTCAAAAGTTTACGAAATTAAAGATCTTGGCGTAATACATGACTCGAAATTATTATTTGACAAACATATAGACTATATAGTTAAAAAAGCTTCTCGAGCGCTGGGGTTTATTATTCGCAGTTCCGCTAACTTCCGAAACATTAAAACGCTTAAAATCTTATACTCCACTTATGTACGAAGCCACCTTGAATATGCATCTCAAATTTGGAATCCTCAATATCAAACCTATATAACTCGGATTGAGGGTATTCAGAAAAGATTTCTTAGGTTTCTAGATTTTAAATCTCAACAGTATTCTATTGACTACAACCATAGATGCAAAAAGTATCATTTTCTACCGTTGGAGACAAGAAGAATGATTAGTGATGTCTGTTACCTGTCTAATGTCGCTTGCGGAAGGGTTGACTGTTCTGAATTACTATCTCTATTAAACTTTAAAACTAACCAGCTTCGATTAAGACAAAGACCATTTCTATGTCCTTTGACAGCCAGAACACGTTACAGAACGAATACTTTCGTGATACGAGCATGCCATACATTTAATAGACTACCTTATAATGTCGACCTGTTTTGTTCTAGCACCACATATGTTAAAAAAGTGTTGAGTCTCAGTTTCTTTGATAATAACAACGATTAATAGATGTGTCGTTTTTATTGTAGGAATGTTAAATATTTACATTTTTTTTTTAAGTTGTCCTCTAGGTTTTTAACTTCTAATTTATAACCTATTTGTGGAGATTTGTAATTAGCATCGGAATAATTTACTTTGTGACATAATGTCGATATTTGTCTGTAAATCTTCCTAAAAATAAATAAATAAAATAAATAAAACCCATCTTGTGGGACATCACAGAAGTGATTTTCACTACAACTACATACTCACACTAATAATAATTATACTATACGTTTTGTTATACGTTATGACAATCGTTCCAGGAAATATAAGCCATTGCTCAGTTATTATATATAATAGCCCTATGGAACTAATATAAAGCCCGCACCGAAATCTTAGTCAGTTTGGGGGGGCCCGAACAAAGCCTATCCATTATAGGCGCTGATTTGTCGCGGCTGACTCATTAGTAGATCATTAATCTCAGACGTGGTTAACGTGATAAAGCTTTATTTAAGTTTATTGTATCAGGCATCAACTTATGATATTAACAACAAATAATGAAATTATTGTTTTCCTTCTTCGAAAGTTAATGACCGCCGTCGCAGTTAGCTGTGACATTTCAAAAACTAATTCATCACTTTTATTAAAGTTTTAATTTAAATGTTATACTTAGTTTGTTTAAATTTGATTTGATTTAGGCACTTCCTGGTTAGGTGTAGCGTAGCATCTTGTGTAGCATATAAGACCACATTTTACTTACTATTAGGGAGATAGTGGACAAAAGTCAACCCATTCTTAAAATAGAAAATTAAGAAGTTCCTCAACAAGTCTAAAAAGAGAGACAAATATAAAAAGAGATTATTTCATAGGTACTGTTCGATAGGAGATTGTTATGGCAATAGCAATATTATACTAAAAAAATCGTAATAAAGAGAAACAACTGAAAAGAGAGAAATAATACGACAAACTTTTAACTTACTTGAAAAATACGTGGACAAACATACAGACATAAATAGTGTGTCACCTATAAAATTAGCACGTGTTTAAAAGCTCATACTGAACAGCATACCTGAATATTACGTCATTCCAACGAAATTACATACATACATCTCGAATTTAACGACCACACAAATATTTATGTATTGATATTAATAGTCCATATCAAGAAATATAAAACAAAATATAGATTCGTTCCAAAAGAATGGAAGTATCCTATTTCTTATAGGGCAGTCAGTCCCAAATCATTTATGGCAGTTCATTTAAAACCACGGTAACCATGATTGTCTCTTTCAGAAAAATATCTTTAAAATTAGGTTATGGACTTCAGAAAAATGAAAGATTCTTTGACTTATCCCTATGCAGACTTTTTTGACAACTACATTACAACTAAATTTCATGAATATTACTTATCCCTTGGAACCTGATAGCGAAAAGGTGTTAAAAATAGAATAAGTAATCTTTTTATATCCATTTTTCAGTAATTAGGATAAAGCATAAAGTATATGCTTTCAGCAACTATCACGATATTATTCAGAAAATTTACAATAAAATTAATTATAAAATTTATTCATATTATACATATACGACTTCCGCTAATTAATCAAGTCTCATATAATCTAATTATTATCTCTTCCGCTAATTAATAAATCATACATATATGTTTTAAGGGCTCCGTATTAATTTTAGTACCAATAAAGAGAAATACGCGGTATATAAATATCGTCATACTTCCGAATGAAATTTAATAACATGTTAAATAGGTCCATACTATCATCTCATACAGTTCTTCAGTCCCAATCAAAGGTATTTGTTGTTCATTTTATTAACATTTAACGTCTCTCATACTAATACAGATGGCCCCAGGAATTAGTAATTGATGTTATCTTATTATATAATAAGTATTTTTTATAGTTACAATTCGATACAAATTTCCTAGATTTGTCCAGAGATATTTTATGCAATGGACATTTTATGTAATTTAAGGTGTAAGGTCTAGCATTAATCTTGTTATATATTCAGTAACTATATAACAAGATTAATGCTAGATTTCATTATAACATTGTTCAACAGTAGAAATCTAAATTTAAACCCCGTTGTAAACAAAATAACTTAGATTCTATACAGGCACCTACTGGCAAATCTAGTTTAGTCTAATCTGTTTTATTACAGTGTTTATTAAGTTGAACAATAGTAGATTTGGTATCAAAACGATCACCAAATTCACTCGATTGTAGACGTTCAACTAAGAATGTTTTAACCCATTAAACATAATAATTGGAGAATGACAATAGGAAATCAATAGCAGACAAGATATGATTTTTATGAATTTTTATTTCAATTCGCAGGGAATATATCATAGATACAATTATTAAGATGATAGATACCTGCTGTGTCACATGTGTATGTTAAACATTAATGTATAACACATAACACGTAAACATAAATTTTAAATTTTCACGTATATATAAAATTAAGAATTCAAGTAGTTACAGATATTAGCAGTTTTGGATTGATTATTCAAATAGGGACTGTATAGTAAAAATCATCATCCTGGTTTGAATAAGGAAATTTAAGAAAAGTATACAATAGTAATACCGCTGTCTCTATGTATGTATAGTAAATTAAAAAAAAGTATCAAAATACATTGTTGAAACTAGTAAATTGAAATAGGAAATGTACTTTTATTATCATATTGCAAAATAAAACCTGTCGGCGGCGCAACAAAAGATTATTTTCTCAACTGTTCTACACTAGACGATTCTACTTAGATAATTTCTTTATTTTGCTTATATAAGGGGGTGGAAGGCCCGAACTTTAGTTCAGATCTACTTGAGCTACCGAGGAGATAACTTCGACGAGGGATATCCTAGCGAACTGCTAGTGCCGTCAATTTGCTTTGTGACTTTGTGTGCATCTTGAGTGCTTAGTTTTGTAGTTTGTATTATATTTTGTATACGAAAATGCTGCCTGGTGGAATGAAACGAAAAGTAGATGCAGAGGGTCGCCAGTTTCAAGAAAAATAGACTGAAGAATTATTTTTTATCCTGCACAATGGTAAGCCTATTTGTTTGCTGTAATGTAATGAATCCATTTCAGTGATCAAAGAATTAAATATAAAGAGGCATTAGTCAACTAAGCATCCTACGCTGCACTCACTGACAGGACAAATAGGAAAATACAAAATCCAGAAAGTTACTGCAAATTTGGAAAAGCAGCATAAAATGTTTCATAAATAAAGAACACTACTTAATAATGTTGTGAAAGCTAGTTTTATAGTTTGCAGTAGCCAAATTGGCAAAGTCATTAAAACCATTTTCCGAAGGCGAATTTATCAAGGAGTTTATGTTAGAAGTTTGCAGTGTTTTGTGTCATGAAAAGTAAAATGAATTTGAAAAAATATGTTTTCCAAGACGAACTGTTGTCCGACATACATAAATTATGGCTAATGATACAAAAACAACATTGACTGACCGTATGGCTGGTTTTGAATCATTTATCATAGCATTAGACGAGAGCACCGATTTGTCGGACACAGCTCAACTGGCTATATTTGTCGGACACAGCTCAACTGGCTATATTTGTCGGACACAGCTCAACTGGCTATATTTGTTCCAGGTGTTGATAAAGAGTTCACTGTTTCTGAGGAATTGCTTGCTTTACAGTCGCTTAAAGGGACAACTACAGGAGAGGACATTTTTAATGAAGTTCAAAAGGTATTTAAAAATTTTGCCTTGCCATGGTCAAAATTAGTTGAAGTTTGCACAGATGGTGATCAAATCATCTTTTTGGAATTGAATTTGCAAAAAGATGATTTGATAGTCCTTCACTGCATTATCCACCAACAGAACTTGTGTTTTCTACTCCAGAATGTTATGAATGTAGTAGTAAAAACCACACTCTAAAAAAAATTGTTAAATCAAACAATATTGTGATATATGTGACCAAGCATCTTGTTTCCATATGAGCCTGACAAGATGTTAGATACATTAAATAAGATGGTTTTTATTATTTTTACTATAGTTACTTTGTTAAGATAGTTAAGATTTCATTCAATTTGATCATTATAAATAACTATAGCAACTACCTCCTAGTCTTCAATTTAAATAAGATCGTAGTCGATATGTCTATGATATGTGACTGTATGAACAATTTATCACAGTTGATTCAACCAAGAGGTTGGTAAAAATTAACATGAAACGTGGCTAAACTAATCAATTTACGAAAGTTAATTTGACCAAAGAGTTGGTCAATTTAACCATGAAATATGTACTTGCCCATTTACCGTAGTTATTTCAACCGATAGGTTAGTCAATATAAGCATGAAACATCGTTGTACTAACCAATTTACCGAAGTTAATTCAACCAACATGTTGGTCGATATTAATATGACACTTGGTTGTTTCAAACAATTTACTGATTGTTAATTCTGCCAACAAGTTAATTCTGCCAAAAGATTGGTCAATTTAAGCATGAGATATGATTATATAAATCGATTTACCAATGGTAATTCAACCAAGACAACCAACCACTTTAGCCGTTTGATCATTCTGAACTTTTGGTCCAAAGCGAGTCAGATTTTAAGCTCGGACCACACAGCTCAGAGCCCAACCAAAGACCTAAAGTAAATAACTGAAACGGTTGGTTTCGAATCCCATATTAAGTTTAGTTTAAACGGCATATTACTTATACAATCTAACGATATAAACTGATACCGCGATGCATTAAATGAACAACGCCATCTAGTTTGCAGACTTAAAACTATTCGGGCACCTATGAAGATGATGGGCGTGTTTCATATTAATATCGACTAACATGTTGGTTGGATTAATCTTTTTCATAACAATATTCAAACAATATTCTCGCAATAGAAAAGTAATTTGATAAGTTTGTGTGGATTTAACAAAGTCACTCTTTGTTGGCACTCGCTTTTCTTAGTTGATTCATATAAGACAGTATTTAAATCAATCAGAATTTGATAATTATTTTAGCAAATACATTGTTAGTAGCATGAACAGCTTAATTTTAGTTAGTCCAATAATGTCAAGTAGTTACCATTAATCATTCGTGTTTTTGAATTGACTAAATAGTCTTTGTTGTTTGAAAAACAAAGAGTTTTTTTTGGTTCTACTAACGTTCTTTGTTAAACCAAATACGAGAACTTATTACTGCAACAATAAAAATCGTCTAATCTATTACTTTACCAATTTATTTTGATTAATTTGTATAAATTGCTTCAACATACTTAGTTGTTAAATTTAACTATTAAAAATAATCGATTCACACAAAAAAATCCAGTAATGATAGATACAATAAATATATTTGATAGAATTAATCAGGGTTACCAAATTTTTAATTTAACCATACTTTAACTAGTTGGTTCAATGTTTCAGCTTTGGTTGATTTATGTAAATAAGTAATTGTTTTATTCAATATTATGTCAACCAAGAGAAAATCGCTCTTTGTTGGCCTCCATTTTTTAGAGTGCACCAAATTTATTCGATCCCGAAGGTTTAACCATCGTCAATTCAAGGCGTTTTTGGATGAAATATCAGCCGAATATGAGGACGTAACATATTATTCTGAAGTCAGATGGCTAAGCAAGAGGGAAAATGCTGAAATGGTTTTACGAGCTTATAAATGAGATAAAATACTTTATAAAAGCAAAGCAAATAAAAGATAAACCACTTTCTGACTTGAGTGACCCAAAATGGATATGTGACTAAGCATTTCTGGTCGACCTTACTGGCTATTTGAATGATTTAAATTTGAAACTTCAAAAACAAGGACAGTTAATTAATGATTTGTACAGCCATTTGAAAGCGTTTCAGAATAAAATTCGCTTGTGGGAGGCACAGATGCTGTTTGGAAACAGTTAACATTTCACCACGCTCTCTGCGTGTGAGAATATGCTGAGGAACTTAAGGTACTGTCGGAGCAATTTTCGAACAGATTTAGCGATTTCAGAAACATGGAAGACTATTTCAATTTATTCGCTACTCTAACAAAAAGTAATGTACAAAATGCTCCAATACACTTGCAAATGGAGTTGATCGAGATTCAAGAAATTTCACTCCTAAAATCTAAATTTGAAAATGTGGAATTGTGTGATTTCTACAAAAAATATCTCGAAGATGACCATTTTCCGAAGCTTGGAAAATTTGCAAGAAGATTGATTTGTGCGTTTGGTAGTACTTATAAATACGAACAGTTTTTTTCACTGATGAAAGTTAATAAATCGAAATACGGTATAAGGTTGAACGACGATAATTTGGACAATTCTTTACGTCTTTATATCAGTGGAATTAATCCAAACAGTGGAATTAGTCCATCGAGGACTAGTTTCCCAAGTTCAAGCTCAAGTGTCTCATTGATTTCGGTATCGCTATTTAACTTTTGTAGTTTGTAACAATTTCAAATTTAACGATTTAATTATAATGTTATTATTTCATTTTGTTATTTTCATAAATTGATATTATAATAACATTGTCGTATTATTTCATGTATGATATCTATCGCAAAAAATTATGAGCACTACTTTAAGATGTACTACTTTTAAACGCAGCCCGCGAACGTATTTGCACACTAAAGTTTGGCCCACAACATGTCCAAGGTTGCCCATACCTGCTTAAGACTATCTACTTATCTGTCTTAATTGTGTAAATAGTACAGCATGGTCGATAGATGGAGTATAACTTTATTACTGAATGTTCGGATATTCCAAAAACTAAATTAAACCTTAATTTAGAATACAACAATATTAAAGTCATTAAAATTGTCTTTTTCAATGTTGTTTTCTTTTTATTTATTTAAATAAATTGTGACATATTTATTATATACGTGTATATTGCGGTGTGTTCCGTCATAAATCCTTCTTTTTGTTTTGTCATAATCGTTTAACCAAATGCTTATTTTTAATTTCATGGGCAAGAAGACATAATTTATAAATCAGAGCTCACTGCTTATAATATAAATAGTCTATGAATAACCTTTTCTTCAAAAATAAAACCGACTTTCAACGTTAAAAAAGTAATATAATATACATGCCTAATTAACATAAAAATTCCTCCTTTCCAAATTTGAATGAATGCAAAATATGCTCGCTATCTTTTGTTTTTTCGCTGTTAAAAACATGTAATTAACGGTCAATTGCACAAACGTCCATTAAGGTTTAATGACGCCTTAAAACTGTAATGAATTTCAAATTTGTATCGGTAATGTCACTTTATAGTAATGAAAATTTTAATGAACGTTTATGCAACTGGCAGTAAGTGATATTTATTTTAGGTATAAAAATAAAAGTACTGATTCAATTTCGATAAACTTTGTATGGGAACACTTAGATTCAAATTCAATATCATTTATTCAGTTTAGGATGTTACAAGTACTCGTTAAAGTCGAAACCTACGGCGGGCTCATATGCTGTCCAATAAAAAATAATTATGAAAATCGGTTAACGATTCACGGAAGAATCTATACTTATATACGACTAGTGGCCGCCAGCGACTTCGTTCGCGTTTTCCATTATTTCTTCGCTCCTAATAGTTGCAGCGTGATTTTATATAGCCTAAAGCCTTCCTAGATAAATGGTCTATTTAACACAAAAATAATTTTTCAATTCAAAACAGTAGTTCCTGAGATTAGCTCGCTCAAATAAACAAACAAAAAAACTCTTCAGCTTTATAATATTAGTATAGATTCATATGGTTTTACTTTGTACAAAAGTTATACACTCATGACTGTGCAAAATGTCGCCCAACTGTAACAGTTTCATTTTTAGGGACAAAATGTTTCTTTTAAGTACTCTTTGTATTTTAGAAAATATAACTGAGTAACATAGGTATCCCAAGCCTAAAAGTTTTGTAAAGGTCATGCAATACCATCATTAGGTTAGTTTCGGAGCGGCGCGTCTTCTGAACGATGAAGACAGAACAATATTGATATTGGATAATGGAAAAATGGCGTGCTGGAAACGAATTACCGCGGAGGAAAATACCGTTTCCTCGTGTTTTATATCTAGAGCTTCATACTTAATACCTAAAATATTACACGTCTATTCTATCATTACGTGATTTCCGACAACCATCCATTTTAGATGGTTATAATATAAATTGGTTTTAGACCCTTTCTTAAATTAGATTTCTTGCCATCGTGCCGTAATAAAAGTTGTTAGAAAACTGTCTTTTTTATATTTAAAAAAGTTTTATTTGTAACTATTAAATCTCATTTTTTAGGTATTGATTCTATGTTATTTTGCCATAGACAATTGTGGTTTATTTAAACTTTACATTTGCCTATTTGTCAGATAGTGAATGTATAGAATTATTGGGTAAAATTATGTAGAGCAAAAATCTTTTTTTTTTCTAAGACTTCCACTATGTTGAATATTTTTATTTATATTCCAATACTTTGGTTTCTTGTTGTATTAAATAAAAAACGTGTTGCTTGTATGACGGAGGTTTATTGAGTGCGCACATCAATTGAAATTAACATTGTACATAATTTTAACAGAATAAGCATAACGTGAGTTACTTATGTACGTAAACAGTGAGAAATAACACAAGTTCAGTTTAGTATGCTATCTATGCATTAACATTTACGTGTGTGCTTATTACACACACTTCACCTCCCCCGAAAAGATACTGCTACCCCTCCGCTCACTAAAAAGAAAAACTTAAAATAACAAAATTTTTGAACTACTTTGAACAATATTTATAAGAAAATAATTACTAACATTTATTGTAACGAGTTATACATTTTGAAAAGTGTTGTACAAGCA